GCAGGGCACACATCCCTCCACGGCTTTTGCCTTCGCTTCGTCTGCGCTTCCTCAGTGCTTCCTCAGTGTGCTCAGCCCGACCACCACAGCACTCAGAAGCACAATCGCAGGCTATTTTCTGTTAGATTACCTAACGTCTGAATAAAGCACGAGGGCTGAAGATTACAGAAAACTGGCTTTAGGAAATAAATGACGTGCTGTAAGCACCCCTTTAACACAGCACCCCTTTAACACAGCACGTACAGAGGTGGTGGAGCAGGCTGCTGGGTGATGCACAGCCCATGCGCCCACATAGGCCTGCAAGGAAGAACACACAGGTTTTGAACTCAGATGCTCATTTATTTCTGTTGTCCTCCGTACTCGGTATCCTTTTTTCTGTGTTTTGATAATGCACACACTCAGGGGATCCCAGCTCTCACGCTCTGTTCCCACACACAGACCCATGCACAAAACCCACATGGAGATGGATGTTAAACTGCCACGCAGACAGGGCAGCACATTCAGCTGCCCAACTGTGGGTCAGTCACCACTGATGCATCACCCCCTCCCAAAAATAAAGCTTCATGATCGATAATGTTCAGTTCTCTTTCACTGCTTCATCCTCCAGTAACTTAAAAGATTAAATGAGCGCGTTGGTAATTCCCACACACTGCCTACACTTACAGATCCTGCATTCAGCTCCAGCCCTCACAGCTATCAATTCTTCACAAATACTCCACGGGCAGAAATCTGTTAGTTGGACACCTGTACACGCATTGAGATTCAGTATCTAAAAACCCCAACATGTTCACGTTGGAGAGGTTCTCCCACCCTCACTAAACATCAGCTCGACGTCTCCAGTTTCACAGCACACAGGGATTCTCTGGAGCAGGGCAAGCATGAGGAACCAATAACATGCCTGACAACAACACAAATACCAGAGTTCTGACAGAGGGCAAGGGGGGAAAAAAAGCAACTTTTAAACAGCCCAATGAAGTACTTCCATCTGTACGCTTCTCATTCTGCAATCAACTACAGCTGTCTTTCCCTGGGACCTCATCTTTAGCAGAACAAATCCTCTGGGGCACAGACTGCCTCTAATCTCTGCTGTACCACGCAGAGCTGCGCTCTACAGCAATAACAGGGTCTGTTACGTGTCTGCCCCACGTGTGAGTGAGATCTGGCGAAATGACAGCTTTCCACATTTCTCTTTAAGGGAACCAGCAGTGTTCTTATCAGTCAGGTCTGGAGTGTCACCGAGAACAAGGCAGCATAAGCTGAACGATGCTCCTGTCACATATCTTCACGAGCTCAAGATGCAGGACACAAAACCAGATCCCTTTGTAATTGACATTTATGGGGAAGATTCTCAGGGCTGACGGACAGGCAATTAGCAAAGAAACCTGGTTATTTGTAGCCAACATGGCTGAGAAGAGCAACAAAGAAAGAGATTTGTCTTCATGAGTGAAGACATTTGTGTTCTACAGGAAAAAAACAGCAAGTTTTACTTAACTTTTACAAATCCAGCATGCCAAAACCAGTGACATCCAGCCGCAAGGCTGAGCACCACGCTCCGTCCCAAGAGAAGCTGCACCCGGTACTCTGAGAGAGCACACAGCCAGCAAACGGCACCAGCACACAGCCACAGCCCAGCGGCTTCTCCGAGGAGCACCAACAGAAGACAGCAGCCCACACTTCTGGGGCATTTCTCTCCATCACTGAGAGCTGGGAGGGCTCCGCTCCGCAGGCCAGAGCACAGGGCTGGGCTCACACCGCCCGCTGCTTCCTGCGGCTGGGATGGGTTCCGTCCTTCGGGAGGCAGGGAAGGAAGAACGCGGCGAGCGCAGCCGGGAGCTCTGCAAGCACGCAATCCGGCCTACGGGGATTGCAAGAAGAGCACCGCGCCGAGCACGCGAATTAACGCTCGTTCCAAGACGGTACAGAGCGATCTCAGCGCCGGCAAGGACCCGCGCGGAGCCGGCCGGCCGCAGCACGGCGGAAGGGCGGCATCCCGGCAAGGTCACCGCCGTGCCGCCAGCAGCGCGGGGAGGGGCGGCGCTCCGCCGCCAGCAGCCCGGCCGTGCCGCGTTTTGCCGCGCCGTGCCGCGCCGTGCCGCGTTTTGCCGCGCCGCGCCCCGCGGCCTCCGGAGCCCGGATCGGCGCCGAGGCCCCGCGCTCTCCTTACGGACCCCCCGCAGCCGCTCCCTCGCGGGCTAAGGAGCCCCTCCGCCCCTCACCTGCTGGTAGCGGCCGCTGCCGGGCTCGGCGGCCGCCATGGCGCTGGGAGGGCGAGGGCTGAGCGGGCGGCGGGGGCTCGGCGCTGCCCGGCCGCCTCCCGACGGGCGCTGCTGAGGCGGAGGCCGCGCAGCCGGGGCCTCTTCGCTGCGGCTCCGCTCCCGCCCTCCCTCCGCCCGTCACGCTCGGTCGCGTCCTCCTCCCGCCCCGCCCCGCCCCGCCCCGCCGGCAGCCGGAGGCCTCGGGCCCGAAAGGAGCGGTTGGCCCCGCTGGGCCCGGCGGTGCTGCGGTTGCCGTGCAGGGCAGATTTCCACAGCTAACCATCCGAAAATTCACGGCGTCCCACGCTGGAGATGGGCGCCGCCTTCGCGGCCCGCTGGGACCGGCTGTGCGAACCGCTCCGCCCGGAGCTGGGCACAGAATCACAGGGCGGCGAGTTGGAAGGTTCCATAAGGATCGCCGAGTCCATCCCTGTGTTGAGAGCGCTGCCCAAACGCGTCCTGAGCTCGGCAGCCCCAGTGCCATCCCGTGCCCTGTCCCAGGGCTGTACCACCCTCTCTGTTAACCCATCCATGTCAGTTCCCAACGTGATGCCCACCCAGCTGCTCCCAGCACACACACACTGCACTGCAGCCAAAGCCACTGCACCCAAAATGCTGGCCAGCTGCTCAGGAGTGCCACAAAATCCCGAATATCCACGTCAAGCAGATGGTGCTGAAGATCCAAAGCCTCCCAGAGTAAGCACTCATCCAAAATCATGCTGGGTTATACGTTTGTTTATTCTGAATTCTTTTTTGCATTTAATGTTACATGGGTTGAGGGATTTTCACCCTTGTTCAGTGCTTGCACAGTTCATCTGCAGTTGGACTTGTGCAAAACCACCCACATCTGTCCCTAAGGTTGATAAGACTTAAATATATCTGCTTTAGGATGAGGAGGGCTGAATCAGCCCCGCTGGGATTCTGAGCTGCCAATTCAGAGAAAGAGTTTAAATCTGAGGACATAGTCCTGAACTGCAAACTCTGTCATAAACGAATGGTTACAGCTCTGCATTCAGTACAATGCTCAGGCTGGGATCTGTTCTGTATTCCTCACAGGACTGGATAGTTCACCCAAGCCCTAAAGAGATGGGTGAACATCGCAGTTCTCCTGTTAAGGGACAGACAGGAATTGTAAATTCCTGTCAATCTTCAAATCTTCTTTTCTTCAAAAAGAACCTCCAAGAGAGTCTCCTGAGAAATGCTGTAGGCATGAGGAGAATGCAAGTTTCTTACAAGAAAAACACCTTTGAAGGAGCTGGAGTGAGAGCTGAAGGCACAGTCACAGTTTGTTTCCCCTTTCCACAAGAGTCACAGTTTGCACAGAGAATCTCCTTTGCAGTAAGAAGCTGTCCTGATGACGTGCATGGATTTGCTGTCGAGGTAGGATTATATCCCTAAGTATAGCAACAGCCACAGTGGTAATTAGCTGTACACTGATTGACTTGGACATCTGAAAGACTAAAACCAGACACAACCTGTGCATTCCCTCAGAAAAGATGCTGGACAGTATTCCAAAGAGATGGTGAAACAGTTTGTGCCATGGTCATTAGCTGGAGGCACGTCGCCACCTAATTAGGCCAACTAGCCTGAGCAAGGCTGACATAGGGAGCTGATGGCAATTTCTTCCAGCTGCTCTCTGTGTGTTTGTTTTATTTTACAGGGGACAGCAGCGAAGATGATGCTGTGGTTACAGTGCATGACTGGTTCTGCTTTCATTTCCTGCATGGTTTTAGGCAAATCACTTCACACCTCTGCATTTTCTAAATCTTCCTTTAATACAAAATGTCTTTTCTCCTAAGAGATGCTCTGAAGCTTGAAGTCATTGCTTTTCAGTGACTTCCGTGTGGGATATGCTGTGAAAGTATTTGAAAGCAATTGAAAATGTTAGAGGGCTGCAGTATGGTGAGTCCCCTGAAGCCCCTATGCTCCACAGACATTACTTTGATTACGGTGTATGACTGAACAACAAAGAGGGCACTATTAATCTGTGCTTTCTAACAATATTGAACTCTAAAAACTAAATGATAAAGCTTGGGAGGGGGGGGGGGGGAAGGTGAGGGGCTGTTGAAGCTAGACTTGTTTAAATAAGGAATGAGCAAGACGTTAAAACTTAGCTCTTCTTTGCTATCTTTATAGCAATAAATGATTCACCTAAGAAAAAATTGAAGGCAAATGTTTGCATGAGTTAATGGATCAAATGATACCTCTGAAGCTCTCCACTGTAACAGCTTAATCATCTGCAAGCAGGCTGCAACTGGCAGGCTGAGAAAAAAATGGTGGCGGAGTGTTGTTCATGTAAATAAAGCCTGCACTGTCTGCCATTACAGAGCTAGCCTCAAGGAAGATGGAAACTTCACCAGGAGTCTCATCCAAAGATTGCTGGCATCAGCAGAAAGTTCACTGTGCTGCCCAGAGAAACGCAGCGGAGCGCTACGAGCTGTGTTCCACAGCGCCAGCAGCTGCTGGGAGCGCTCAGTGCTTCCCTGGAATCCGGGCACTGGTGGGAGGAGCTGGGCAGCAAGCAGGGCTTGTGGAAAACGGCAGCTCCGTGCAGGTCTGTCCACCTAGGAATCCAGTTCCTCCTTTCCTCATAAACGGGAGAGTGAAGGCAGGTGGGATGTGCAGGAGCAGGAAATGCTGGCAGATGGTGGGCATTTAGGAGCTGCTTTAATTATGGGAATTGAAATTTATGCACATAAGTTTTTTATTGTTGCTTTTTTTAGAAGGGGGGGGGAGGGGGAGGACAGTGCTCAAAAGCAGCTCCTGATAGCAAAAGCTCTGGTCTGTGTGAACTGCTGACTCTAATCACTTCAAGGCAGAGAATAAGAAAATGCTGTGCTTGTTAGAACCCCCTGGTTAAACTTCAGCTCCGTCTGCAGGGAAGTGTTTGTTTCCTTCCATCTGCTGCTTTCGCTGGGAAGGAAAATCAGCTTGTTCAGACACCAGGAAGTTCTTCAACATTTCAACAGCGAGCTGAGAATGCAGAAACAGCAACATGCATAAATAATCATACCTAAAAATATCCCGCGTTCCAGTCACACGTAGAACCCAGCCCTGGAGCCGTTTCCTCAGCATCAGCAGGCTGCCTGAAGCACGCAGATCCATGGGACGTGGGCAGGACGGGGCAGCTGTGGCAGCAGATGCACGTGCCTGCCTCTCTCACTGTTGCAGTTTTTTCCTCCCATCAAAACATGGGTTTTTTTGTTTGGCTGGTTGGTATTTTTTTACTGGGAGCTGCTGACTGACTCTGATGTCTTTGAGCACTGCTCCTGCCAAAGCTGCTTGCGCAGGAGGTCAAAGCAAGAGTGAAGACTGTTTGCAATGCTGAGAGACGCACTGAATTTCAGCCAAACACCTTTGCAAAGTTCAGCGCTGGCCCCGGGGCTCTGTTAGCAGCATGGTATGATGCAGCTTCATCCAGCTCCGACCTGTGCTGCTGAAACCAGCTGGGCTGTAGTTGCTGCCAGTATCCATGGGGCCGATGGGTGCATCACACTGACCAGTGGGAACGGCAGGAAAGCTCTCACCCAGGGCCATGGGGTGGGCAACAGCTTGTAGAAAAGCCTCGTCTGTTCTGTGTGACTCTCAGCTCTCTCCCCAGCACTGCAGCCACGGAAATACTTCTGTGCTCGCTGGATAACTGCTGCTGATGGAAACACACCGCACTTTCCATTTTTTTTTAGTCTCTGTGGCCTAAATCTCTTCCTGAGTTCAACCACAACCATCTGTGGCCCATCACAGCTGTCACTCTCCAGCCAAGAGCAAACCAAGCCAGCAGCTCTCAGCACTCAGATGAGGCAGCATCGGCAGCACTCAGCCTTACCGGGTCATTTCCATTATTAAAATAAGCAGGAGCAGTGTGGGATGGGTGCTAGAAAGCAGTTTGTATTTTACTCTTTCTTTCTAATGAAAGCAGAAAGCCGTCTGACTTTGAAAGAAGAGCTTTTGCATCTCAACAACAAACCTCATGCCTCTGAGCAAGGCTGCAAGGAGAGGTCGGGCACCGTCCTGTCACAGCGTGAAGAGAGCTGGAGCGGTGGGTGGAAGGGAGGGAGGGAGGGGAGGGGAGAAAGGGAGGAAGGTAGGGAGGGAGAGAGGGAAGGAGGAGGGAGGGAGGAAGGAGGGAGCGACGGGAAAGAAGGAGGGAAAGGAAGGGAGGAAGGGAAGGAGGAAGGGAAGAGGGAAGGAGAGAGGGGTGGGAAGGAAGGAGGGAAGGAGGGAGGGAAGGGGTGGCGGCAGCACCGTGTCGCTCGGTGTGGAGCAGCGCGCAGGGGGAGGAAGCAGCCGCCCGTCGCCCTGAGCAGCGAGCCAGGAGCGAAAAGGCACACGGAGATCTGACGGTCTGCCGTCTTTTTTAACGGATTTGGGGAAAGCGTCGCTCCAAAGAGCCGTGTCCGGCTAAAAAGCACGTTTCCGCTGCTCATCATTTGTATTGATTCACATAGACCTCTCACAGCCCGGACGCCTCGTCACCGGGCGCGTTTCACTGCTCCTGTCAGCGCTGGTTCTACAGTCCCCACGGCAGCGCTCTCCGAATAAACTGCGAACCGGGCTCTGCCATCACGGCCGCCACCGCCGGCCCGGAGCCGCCTGACAGAACGCACAGCGCCCCTCGCACCGCCAACAACAGCGGCTCCAACCCGTGCGCACGCCGGACGGCCCGCAGCGCGCCGCCAGCCGGGCTTCACCGCCCACGGCGGGGCGGGGCGAGCGGCGCTAAAATGGCGGCGTAGGCGCGGCGCTCCGCCCGTCCCGCCATGAAGCTGATCATCCAGGAGACGTACGAGCAGGCGAGCGAATGGGCCGCCAAGTACATCCGCAACCGCATCGTCCACTTCGCGCCCGGCCCCGGCCGCTTCTTCACGTTGGGGCTGCCCACAGGTGGGGGGGTGGCGGCGGGACGGGCGGGTTGTGAGGGGCTGAGCGGGGCGGGATGCCTGTGAGGGACGGGCGGACGGACTGACGGACGGACGGACTGACGGCGTGCCGTGTGTCCGCAGGCAGCACGCCGCTGGGCTGCTACAGAAAGCTGGTGGAGTACTACAAAAACGGGGACCTGTCCTTCAAGTACGTGAAAACCTTCAACATGGACGAGTACGTAGGTGAGTGGTGCTGGCGGAGCCCCGCCGGTTCCGGGGCTTTAACCGGCTGCTCCGCGCTGCGTCCTGCGGGCTCCGAAGCGGAGCGAGGCCGTCGTTACCAATACGTTCAAAACGGCGACGGACGATCGCCGGACGGACGCGGTGGGCGCCTGCGTAAAAGCAGCGCGATGTCGGAGCCGCGCAGCCCAGCCGGTTTCTCGCTGCGGGCAGAGATAACGGCCTGCTCCGCACCTTTGCTCCTGGGCTGTGCAGCCGGGCCGCCGGGCGCTGCGGTAGCGGAGGGGTGGTTTTGCTCTCGGAGCTGCGATGAAATGGGCCGTTCTGAAGAATGGCTGCAGGAGGAGCCGAGAGCTCCAAAGGTGAAAAAACTTGCAGGGTAATTATTTGCTTGTGATAACTTAGATGCTGAGCAAGAATTTTCTCCGTAAGCAGGTAAGCAGTGTCAGGAAACGGGCGGCTGTGTGGGTCTGCAGCGTTCAAGGAGAAAACTGGACGCAGTAGGTCATTTCTCAGCTGCTCCGTTGTTTTTTAAATCACTTTTGCTAAAACCAACTGGGAGGTGGGCTGAAAAGAGGCACAGCACAGCACATGTTCTCTTCTGGAACATCCACTGCGTGTTACCACAAGGACGTGGAATCACAGAATGACAGAATGGCCTGGGTTGAAGGGGACCATCGTGATGATCCAGCCTCAGGCCCCCTGCTGTGTGCAGGTTGCCAAATGCTGGATGTGACTGGTGTCGTTTTGCTTATTTGAGGAAGCAAAACTTCTGAAAGTCGAGGGAGTTCTGTAAGACAGATGGAGAAAACGGGGCTCTATTGCCAGAGCCTGCGTAGGTGTTCTGCATTACAGGTGATGTTTTTCTGGCTGCTCCCAGCCCTGTGTGTGCTCTGTTAACAGGTCTCCCGAGGGACCATCCGGAAAGTTACCACTCCTTCATGTGGAATAACTTCTTCAAGCATGTTGATATCTCGGCAGAAAACGTTCACATTTTGGATGGAAATGCAGCTGATCTGCAGGCAGAGTGTGATGCGTTTGAGGATAAAATCAAAGCAGCTGGAGGAATTGAACTCTTTGTTGGAGGTGAAAACCTGAAGGACTGGCAGTCTCTATGCACTGTCTTTCCTCCATCTATCTTATTTATTATCTGGAGAAGACAAATAAGTCCAGGTGATGTGCAGTGAAGGGCACCCTATACACTTCTACTGAGTGCTCGTGTGTGCTGGTAGCCTTGTTGTCTGACATCTCATTCCCCAGTTTAAATGTTTGAATTCAGGAAGGGAATTGCTCTGGAGGTGGTTAGCTGGAGAACCAGGCAGGGCTTGAATTTTATCAAATATGAACCATGTTACAATTATTAGGGTAACAGGAAGCTGCTAGAAATAGTCATAGCCAACACAAGCAAGCTTTTCCTGTCAGTTTGCCTTTAGATTTTGCTATCTGCTTTGCTATATTGTTGTCCCAGTGCAAGTGAGAAAGTCTCTGACTTCATAAGGAGCTTTTGCTACCATTCTTACCAGAAGCAAATTTGAGCTTCAACAGAGAAATTGCAAGCATATTTCTCAGCTCTGTGCCTGAATGTTCCATTTACAGGAGTGCTGGTGGTTCTGTTTCCTACAAAAACCATTTCAGCCAGTGACCTGCTTCTCAAACTCTCTCTGTCGCAGGTATTGGCCCTGATGGTCACATCGCTTTCAATGAGCCTGGATCAAGTTTGGTGTCTAGGACGCGAGTGAAGACCTTGGCTATGGACACTATACTGGCTAATGCCAGATTTTTTGATGGTGACCTCTCCAAAGTCCCCACGATGGCTTTGACAGTTGGAGTAGGCACTGTGATGGATGCCAGAGAGGTTAGGAAAACAACACACACTACATATTTCAGAGAGCCCTGCTCTAGAGCTGCTATAACTAAAGGTCATCTCATCTTGGAGCAGTTATGCACCCTGCTGGTGTAAAGCAGCCCTTGTTTTTCCTGCCACAGACAGCTGAACACAGTCTTCCTTTCTTGCATCCCGTACCACTACAAAAGGGCTCTTGATCTGCTTTCCAGTTTTTGTTTTTTTCTCTACTAACCCTGCAGTACAGTTGTGATTGAGGGGAGCTAGAAGGGCTTTTGGAGAATGGCTTTGGTTAAGGAGCTCTTCTGGTGAAATAGCTGCAGGAATCCCTGGCTGACTCAATCTTATACCAGGTGATGAAAGGCAAATGGAATAGCTTTTAGGTGCACCTACACCTTGATTTGCACAAGTTAAGTCTTGTATATAGGTGCCTAATGGGAGCTCAAAGTGTCCAAATCACTAAAATTAGCCTCTAGGCTATGACAAATAAAATGTAGCTAAAGCAAACAGAATTTGTGGCTGACTTCTGGGGGCATGACAGACCTTACTCTCCATTAGGGATTGGGGCAGCTCTTTGTTAGTTAGTGTGGATTTGCTCTCAGCAAGTCTTCTGGACTCTAACTGCCATCTTCTTGTCTTGGAATCCAGGTGATGATTCTCATCACAGGAGCCCACAAAGCCTTTGCTTTGTACAAAGCTATCGAGGAAGGTGTCAACCATATGTGGACAGTATCTGCCTTCCAGCAGCACCCCCAGACCGTGTTTGTGTGCGATGAGGATGCTACACTGGAACTGAAAGTTAAGACAGTGAAGTACTTTAAAGGTGAGTATGTGACCAGGGCAGGCAGTGGTTGGACTTGTTTTTTCAGTGGCAGAAGCCGTGATTTTTGATAAATGCTTGTTTAATCTCCCAAAAACTCCCAAAAGAGAACACTCTTCCAAGACAACAGCTGAAACGTAGAGCACTAAGGCTGTCAGGCTTATCTCTGTGGCTATGGGAGAAAGGAGCACAGATTTGACTAATATCTAATTTCATTAGCATGCAATGAATGAAAATTTTGCTTTATTATATCCACTGAAGTCATCTTTTTACCTGCTACATCAGGTTTAATGCTGGTTCATAACAAGCTCGTGGAACCCTTATACAGCATGAAGGAGACAGAAGCAGAAAGAAGCCATTCTAAGAAGCCTTACAGTGATTAATCTCTCACTGCCTAGAGTAATGCTGAGCCATCTTTTTATGTTGAAAACCAGCAGCAAAGAAAGGGAATTGCTGCAGAAATTCTTCTTGTCTTTGTTCTTCAATTAGCAAATACCTGCTTTAACCAAATGAGGATGTGATCCACTGTGCTGTGTTCCACAAATCTCCACCAACGTATTCTCTGAAGATAAAACCAGTAGAGAATTAGTTGTTTAAGCAAAGAAGCAATTATAATTGTTTGGACTGAAGGCACCAAAACAAATGTGAAAGCACAATGGGTGATAACTTTGGAATGTATTCTTTGCAATTCTGTCAAACACATTTGTGTATCACTGCCCCTCTAGAAAATACTCCTAAGTTAGACTCGTGTAAAGTGGGAATGGTTCTTGTTCAGCCCAGAGAAGGGAAAGTATCAGCACAGCTTAACAGTAGCCTGCTTCATAGCTATGAGTAAGCCATCTAGAAATAGAAACAGAGTGCTCCACTGCAGTGCACAGAAGGAGAGGTAAGGGACAGTGGGGCATGAACTGAAATGACATTCACATTGGATGTAATGAAAACGTTCCCTGTGAGGACAGTCCAGGCGGAGCAGACAGTTACACAGAGCTGTGCAGTCTCTATCTGATAGAAGTTTTCAGGACCAAACTGCCCTGGCAGAACCCAGCATGGAGCCAGATGTAAGAAGATGCCAGCAAAAGGGATGCCTTGAGCAGCAGTTCTCAGTGCAGAGCCATTAATGCAGGTGAATGGTTGGCTTATGAATCTGTGACTTTCTTCATTGCCACAGTTCTAAAAGAGGCCTTATATGTTCAGTTACGAGGTATAACTTTATATGCACTGGTGCTTTATGATCTACAGCAGGGTACATTTCTTCACATCAAACATAAATTACTTCTGTTTGTGCTCCTCAATGCTCTGTCACTTGTGTTGGGGCAGAGCTTGAAGCAGCAAGTTCTCTGTCTCCATTTCATGTGCTTCCAGGAAATGTCAGATAATCCTCAAAGGAAACATTCTGTTCCCTGAGCTCAGTGTGTGCTTAGTTACAAAGCACACCCCACAGAGGTGGGCAAGAGCCTGAACAGGCAAAAGCCCACTTGGTCCTTCTGGGCTAAGATCAAAACAAGATCAATGCAAGCCAAACTGGGAAGTATGTGTTGTCTTTGTCCAAGAACTTCGTGAGCTGTTAATCTATAACTTTCTACAGTAAAAATGTTATTTTTCTCTAGTCACTTTGACTGTATGTGTTGCTTGGTTTCTCTATGCTAGTGAAACATGGAACAATGTACGTGTCTGAATGAGAGTAATGGCATATTTGAGTAGCAGCAACAAAAGGAACCAAGAACTGGAAGTAGTAGCTGCTGTGGCTCCATACTGTAAGGGCCCAGCTCCTTGGCTGCTCTCTGCTGGTAGGCATCCCACACAACTAGCCTGGCAGGCAGTGACTGTCTCCTTTGGGACAGGGAGGGGGGGAAAGAGTGGGAATTTCTACAGGAAAAAGGAGGAGGTCTCAGCTCTCTACCAAGACCGTAAAATGTCTGTAATTAAGCACAGTCATTCTGTGTGTGTGCAGAAATGAAGGGAATGAGGAGGTAGCATTCTGTGAGAGGAAAAATTAACCATCAAGGAAAAAACTGTGCTGTGTTAGTAGAGTTGCTCGCCTTGCCCTGTTTCATGAAGACAGGATGAGGTTGGAGCTGTTCTGCCTCTGCACTGCCAGCTGTTTGTCCTGTGAGCACACTCACCTGCTCATCTGTTCTGGAGAGGGTCTGTCCTTCTCTGCCTTGCTGTTAAGTACAGGAGCTCTAGCCTAGGGCCACTGAGTGCCAGCAGCCATAGGTACATTGGGCACTGCTTTGCACCTCTGTCCTTGGAGAAAGGACCTGCACTGCTTCCATACACCTGAGATCCAGCAGCACTGCCTCCAGGCAGAAGAATGATGAATACACACTTCACCCTGGGACAAGCACTCCTTGTCTGTCCACATATGCTGCACAGCAAGAAGAAAGTGCTTTCCAAAAGCAGGTTTCTGGTCACAGAGTTCAGGTCCTGGTGTTAAACAATTGGGGCAGAGTGCAAACTACTGTGGGAGATGCAGCAAAAAGCTGGCTGTGTCCCATGTGTTGTTTCCATGGCAGCTTTATGACTGCCACCACGTGTATCGCTTACAGGCTTGGATGTCCCACAAAAGAACAAGGTAGCTTTGCTCTGAGGGCACTTAGCTTACATAAATGTGCAAACTTCTATCAGCAGGATGCCCCACGCATCAACTTCACACGAAAGTTCTGAACTCTGCTGTGTTAACTCAAGAGACTGTGAGTGTCCCAGCCCTGCAGTGTAAGAGCACCAGAGCCCAGCACCACAGCTGTACCACACACCAACAAATGCTTACGTGTGAGTGCCATAATGAAGACAAACAGGAAGACAACTATATTTGCTGTCTTAAAGTGAATTTAGTGCATGTGAAAGGTGCAGGAAATACAAGTAAACCATACACAATGTAAACTTTCTCTACACATACCATCCCATAGCCTAAATCAAGGCAGGAAATCCACCCATACTATTTTAATCACTGTCAATTCTAATAGAGACTTCTCTCTTCTGCAGAAGGAACTAAATCAGCACTCATTTTGGCCAGGTATTTAACTAAAATTTATTTGCTATCAATCAAAACCGAGTTTTAACAGTTTTCAAGCTCCTGAGCTATCCATCCAGACCCTGCTGTTTGTTTTAAAGAGTTTGAATTCCAAAATAAATTTTTAGATCATTCTGTAAGCAGAGAAAAAAAAAAAAATAGTGTTTCTCTCCAGCAATTACTTCCATGTTCCCAAAACAGCTTACTGAACTTTTAGGGGAAACAATGTTTTTTGAAATATTTAAAGGGCAAGAACAGCAAAAATGAGGCATCTAGCCCAGAACCAAAAGCATCAACTGATCAAATTCCTTACAAGAACATTTTGTGAACAAGGTAACGTCTGGTAAGAGAGGAAATTCGAATTCTTCAAGATACTAAAAATTATCATTGATCCAGACTGTCTGTCCATAGAGATGTGTTTCAGTATTTGATATTATTTTCATCTTGTCACTGGCCAGACTCAGATCATTGCTTCAGCACTCAAATAAGGACTGGCAACAAGGCACGGAGCAGCACCACGTCAGTCAGCAAGGTGACACCAATTCGAGAAACAGCTGTCAGTCATTTGCTGCCAATGTGTTCAGTGGAGAGCATGGGCTCTACAGCCAACAAAAGGAGCTGTCAGGGATCATCACCTTCACTGCCACTGTCAGCAATACAGCAATGAGCTGCTTCCAAAGAAACAGGCCAAGAAATGCAACAGAGGCAATGGGCTCAGACCCTGAGTGCAGCCCTGTGCTGCTTCACAACGCTTTCCAAGCAGCATAACTGAACAGCTCCAGAACGAGCACTGCACCTGTAATACAACTGCCCCCAAAACCACAGTGGGACTAACTGACATCCCTGAAAAGTAAATCTCCTTAGAAGGACTCTCCAAAAACATTTCTGCAATTCGGGAGCTGTAAGAGGGGCACCTCTTGGTACAGACTTTCCATTATTTTCTAACTTCTTGGTGGTTGCATTTCTCTTTATCACTGGATATTACTACTAGGACTTTCAACAGGACTCTTGACCACAGGGTGAGTAAAATGGCCTCCTTTGGTTCTGGCAACAGAAGGGTTGTGCAAGAATCCTGCAGTGCAAGGTAGTATCGTTCTTCTATGGCATCAGAGCACTGAAAATCAAACAGCTTTGACAAAAAAAGGAAAGCATTTGTCTCTGGTTTCTTCAGCATCTGTTGCTAGAGAAGGATACTAGTTTTCATCGTCCCAGAACTCACCATCAATTTGCATAGCTTGAAACAATCTGCAAGACAGTCAGAAATTTACATCAGAATAGAAAATAAAGTAAAAAAAAAAAACAAAAAAGCAAAAGCAGGTTTCATAATTTTTATCAGTAGCATAAGACACTCGTGCTGCAGTTCTCAAGGTCAGTTAAAAGAAGCTGCTTTGCATTTGTACAGCACTTCACAGCTGAGGGTCTTACAACACCTTACAGACATGAAGTGTCAAGAAATCATCTTTGAAAATAATAATCCAAGCTGTATTGAAAGTTACCTAGCATGCTGCAATTCCCAGTTGATCTTTAACAGCATATAATCAGCAGCCAAGCCTGCCTGCTCCAAACAGCTGAGAGTGTTACCTGACAAGACAGAGCTGGGCAAACAACTCCAACATAACATGGGGAACAAAATGAAAGAATATGGGTTTTTCTTGTAAAACAGTTCATCTTTGTCAAGAGAGGTAGAAGTTAAGCTCCAAGGATAGCAGGAGACACAGGGAGAAAAACAGAGGAAAATGGGGTAGGAAGTAAAAAAATTGTTGTTGGAAGAGGAAGAAGTGCTGAAAAACAAGGTTCCAAAACAAGAGAAAATCCCGTCAGCCACATTGATGGACAAAAGCAGAGGAAGCTGTGGAGTTCTCAAGAAAACGCTGCTATTTTGGAATGTGTATCTGACAGCTACAAAACCCAGCACCCAAGCAGTGCAGCACTGGAAATAACACACAAAAACACGTACCGATCAAAGCACGGGGAAGATGGATCATTGAAGTGCTTGTATGGGTTCACCCTTGACAGGGAAGCCATACAAAGCCAGCAGAAGTACTGCATGCAGCCAGTACACGTCATTTTGTTACAACCATCTAGTTTCTGGCAGGGAAAAGAAAAGAAACAATGAGGTGTTTCCACATCAGGCCTCAAAAACAGAACACTTATGGATTCACTGTACCCTGAATAACACAACAGTGATGTTTTTCCACAGCTGGGAGAACTGGGAGATCGCAGAGCTGTGACTCAGTTACGGCACTGACACCACTAGAAATTACTATTCATCAAAGCTATTTGTTTATTTACCAGCTGCAGTCTGAAAAGGTCTAAAACACGTGGAAAGGGATTCGCGTGGATGTTGAGTCAACCTGGATCTTCTCAGTGCCGAACACTGGCAACTGCTGCATTTACTCACATCCCTGAGCTATAAACTACAACCTCCTTTTCTGTATATTGCAGGCAGAAGGGCAAAGATCTCTTTGCCAGTTGCTAGAAATGTACTTTCACTGGTGAACTCAGACACTGGGAGTAAACCTCTGAGCTGATGTAAATACAGAATGACTTTGCCTTTTGCGTTCATTTCCGTTAAGAGTTACTGTGATTCTCCAGCCTTTCCCCACCACGCTCACCTCTATAGGAGTACTGCAGCAAGGGCAGGACTTGGAGTTCTTTTCTAGCCATTCTTTGCTCTCCATCTCCTCGAGGGCTTTCTGGATCACTCGCTTTCCATAGCGCTGTTCCAAAAATCTTTTGGTTGCCTCATTGGCTTCTAAATATTCATTACGCAAATCCATCAGTTTCTCTGCAGAGCAAAACAAAGAAATAGTTTTGTACTGCATTATAGAAAGAAGTTCAGCTAACAGCAATATAAAGCATTCTCACATGAAACCAGCATCATTAATTAAAGAGTAAAACATAATACGTAAGAAATCGAATATTAAGACCTCTGCATCTCATTCAACAGCTTTACAGTGCTTGATCATAAAATAGAACATTCAGTGAAATTAGAACAAGTCTAAGATGTAAATTGAACTGAAAAACAAGTTATTTAATGCTATGACTCCAAGGCCACACAGCCCATGAAGTATCCACCTGAGCACGTACCAACACTGATGGCAGAAAGAAGTGGATTCATAGGAAAGGGTAAAAAAGGGCACATACAAATGAAGGTATTCTGCCCTGCTATGGCCTCTCTGGATTTGGCAGTCAGTAGTTTAGGGACTTCCTGATCTGTCCAGTGCCACGAAAGTGGAATCTTTTAATTGCAAACAACAGACCTATCTAAAAGAATCTGTCAGCTCACACGCTGACCAGCCTCCTTGTTTAAATTCTGACTTCTGATTTTTCACACAACACCTAATTAATTGCTTCTTGATCCATTTCTGACATGCAGTGACTCACCTGCAGTTATTTTACACGGTGAGACCCCATGGTAGGTCATCTTACACAGAGTACAGAAAGCATAGTTGCAGCAGGAGCAGATGCCCATGGTGCAGCCTGGCTCCTGCATGACGGGTGTCTGGCAGCCCGGCCGAGGGCAGTACACAACGTCTGCCATCAGGTCCAAGGTGGACTGCAGCAGCAGGCGGTCATAGCGTGCAAACAGCTGCTCCCCAACCAACTCCTTCACCTAACAAAGACCAAGGAAGCATTATCTGCGTTTGGAATTCTGAGTCTGTTACCTGCGACAAGAAATGCTAAGTAGATGAAAAAGTACAGCTGGTGTGAATTCACTCTGTATCCCCCAAATGAGGTCACAAAATTACCCCTAGAAATGCTGTTCTGGTAACAGTTAAACAATCAAAAGAACAAACACACAGCGCCAAATGTAATGGGACATCAGTTCAGGCCTCTGACCTACGCCACCGTTTTGCCAGTAGGCAAAATATGCACCCCGTGATCCAGTTTTAACCTGGAGGAACGCGTGTGGCTCAGAGAGAGAATCTCCCTGGGTGTATCTGCCATGCCAGCCATTAAAAGCCAGACTGTGTGCTCCACAGTGATGGGTTCAGCACAGCCCTCACCGCCACCGCTCGCATCCATTACCTGACCAGGAGTAGCAACAGAAGAACACTTCGGTTCTGGACAGTTGAGGCAGTGGACCTGACCATCCCTGATCTGAATTTCAAAGTAGTCCTTCAGGCAAGCTTTGCAGTACACGTGGCTGCACTCGGTGAAGTACATACATTCCCTGCCCAGCTTCTCACAGAAGCAAATATTGCACAAGTACATCTTACTGTTAAAGCACTTCCTTCTCTGAGCCTGATCAAAGTCCAGGATCTCCCGAATCAGGCTGGACAAAGATTCCACGTCCTGCACAGCTCTTTCATCAATTTCTTCTTCAGCTGCAGCACAGCCCACTGCACCGCCACAATCCTCGGCATCCGGGGGGACCGAAGGCGTCCTGCCCTGTGCATTCCCTTGTTGGCACATTTTTAGCTCGTACGGGGAGGAAATATTCAGGTAACTCAATGTTTCTTCCTTCAGAAACTGCATCCAGGCAAACAAGACGACGCAGCCTCGGTTCTCTTCCCATAGGTTGTCTAAATGCTTGCAAAGAGCGCTGAGCTAGGAAAAAAAAAACATTTTAGATTACAGCGAGTTCTAAGAACTCGTGACAGCTCTCCTCTGCCATGGTCCTCCTTTAATGCTAATTTACATCTCAGATTTTGGAACTTCTAGGTAATGTGTAAAAGACATAAAAATAATGTTCACAGACACCAATTTTGAACTCTCAGAAGGGTAACCAAGTAAGAAAAGAGCCAAACGAAAGACGGATGTCATCACCTATGTCTTCATTTCAGTTGCATCTACAATATTGGCATCCGCCACAGCACTGCTAATTGTGCACTCACTCACGACCACAAAAGCTCTGTTAGAATGTTAGAAGTGATTTGCAAACCTGTGCTGGGGAGAGCCATTTGCTGCTGAGAGTAAACGCAGGCGGGGAGGTTGATGGGTAGTCCGGTGGGAGCTCAAAGTTCAGCACAAGTGGAGGCAGAAAGCAAACGGTGCATTCAAACCCCCTGCTCTGGGGACTCTCTGTGGAATTGCCTGAGCCAAAGCCAATGGAGACAATAAGAAAAAAATGAGAACCAAAGGATGGCACACATGGCCCCTCTGTCCTTTTGATATATCCCATTTTAAAATGATTTATTCAACCCTAAATAACGGTGCATTAAAATGAGGTTGTATGGGGTTAAACCAATAAACAGGAGTGCTGTGAAATACCAGATCCTGCAGGAACCAAGAACAAGGAAAACACCCCCAGGGGAAAAATGCATACATGAACGTCATTACCCCAAAGAAATACTACGACCCAGCTCTAATTCTGAATCTCACTGGAGAGGCTGCATCCAAATGGTGAGAGCCCACCCTGACACAAACCCCAGCAATGCCACAAACACGAGGAGGGGTCCCACGCAGCTCCGTCAGCCAAATATTCCTACAAACCTTATGGGAGCATCTGAGAAGGCCCCAGGAAACTACCTGGCAAAAGTCGACTTAAAGATAACAGAAGCCACCACAACTCACCGCTCACAAAAACTTTGAAGTTCTGGGGCAGTTCCAAACAAATTCTCGTTTCTCCTCCTTGTGCTGACTCGGCTCTCTTAAACTCATCTTCCTCATAGATGCTGGCCAGCGCCAGCAGCTCATCCTCCTGAGCTTCTCTGTCTTCTGAAGACATTTAAGTTGTCTGTGGGGTTAATACCGCTCTATAGCATCAACTGAGTTAACGCATCCCATCCAAACTGCGCCTGGGGCTTTGTTTTACAGCCCCGCAGCAAGAGTCAGAAACCAAAGCAGCCGATATGAACACAGAACGTAATTACGCTTTGTTACGAGTTGAAAAAAACAGTGCCGGTAACTTTACAGAACGGGAAACACCGACAGAACGTGGAGGAGTTAAAAAGCAAACGGCCGTCAGTGGCTGAGAACAGCTGCGGGAACAGCAGCGAAATACAGCAAAGGGAAAAGCGGCAGCGGGACATCGCACAGCGACTGGAAAGGAAAACGGAGCAGAAGAGAAGAGAAGAAAAATGAATTAGGAACAGAACCGCTCGTCAGAAACTCCAAACCCGCTCGGGCGCCGCGCGGCGCGCTCCGGCCGGCAGGGGGCGCTCTGTGCCCGCACAACCGCAGCGCGGTCCGCAGCGCTCCGCGCGTCGCGCACCAAAACGCCGGCCGGGCTGTCAGAGCACGGCGCTGCGCTGCGGCACCGCCCGGCTGCGGCCACGCACGCGGAGCCGCAGGGATCGAAGCGCCCCCGTCGCGGCTCCGCCAAACGCCGCACCTGGGCGGTTCGCTCAGCGGCCGCCGCACGGTCCCGACCCGCTGCGCTCCGGCACCGCTCCTACCGAGCGGAAACGTAACCGAAGCGAGCCGGGAACCGAAAGCCTCCCGCCGCGCTCCCGCACGGGCGGGGCCGGGCTCGGAGGCCGCAGCGACGGCGCCCGGCGGGGCCGAGGCCGCACGAGGCGCCCCGCAGCAGCCGGCGGACCCCCAACCCGCGGCCCGGCACGGCCCGCTCTTCCGCACGGCCGCCCCCGGTTACCTCAGCCGCGTGGCGGCCGCACGGCCCGAGAGACGCGGAACGGGGCGCTGCCGGCGCCGCGGCGGACGGGACGCGCGGACCGGGAAGGAGCGGCGGAGGGCGGAGGCCCCGGGCCGGCCGCGCCGCTGACAGCGCAGAGCGCCCGGCTCCGCCCGCCGCGCTCCGCCTCCCCACAGCGCCCCCCGGCGGCCGGGAGGAGCGCGGCGTCCCGCGGGAGGCGCCGCAGCCGGGCGGTCCCGGTGCCGCCCCACGCGCAGCCGACCGCAGCTGTCCCGTAATGGGCGGAAGCCACTACGAGCACAGCTGCGAAACGGGCTGCCAAGTGCAGCTGCGCTGCCCCGCCCGCAGAACTCCGCCCTCGCCGGCTGCAGCCGGGCTCAAAGCACCGGCCCGGAGCTCGGCTCAGCCCCGCAGCCAGAAACTCATCCCGCCGGCACTAAAGAGACGCTCACACCACCCCCATCCTCCTTACAATCAACGGCTTCAGAAAGTAATCCAGTAGAATCCAGTGCATTTATTTCTTCCAACAGCTGAACGGTGTTTCAACTTCGGCTTTAACACATACAAATTAATGTTTGCAAGTTTAATGACAATCAGTACTAGAAGCAAATTACTGCATAAAACTCATAGAAAAAATGCTTTGTTCCTGAAAAAGAAAAACAAGCATTCCAAATGAAGGCCTCATGGAAGCAAGCATACCCCTTTACAAGAGTTAGGAACACATCAGTCAGCACTCAGTGTAGGCAGCTGGGCTGCAGCCCTCATTCTTCCTACAAGCACCTACTGAGCTGCAGGCAAGGCTCACAGGCTAACCAGGGAATCTAAACTTTATGGTTAAGAGCACATTCACGCCTGATCTGTTAGGAGTGTGCAGTCACTATTCTACATCTCAGGTAAATGAATTTGATTTGGGGCTATGGGTGTAGTGGTGACACCCACTATAGGAATAAAGGTATTGGGAACACTAACCCACTGCTTTGCATACCTTGTGTGAGTATGAGTTGTTCAGGTGCAGATCAAGATAAAACCTAGAGGTGTGTTAATGCTTAAACACAGGCTAGACTAAGGTAAGCAGTTAGAGGATGCTGCAGGCTCTGAGGAGCAGCCTCCCTCCCATTCCTGTCTCACTGTCCTAGCTTTAGCAGGCATTCCCTTATGAACACTGCTATGCCAGACAAGAGAACGTGAACAACAGTATGAAAAAATCAGACTAGAGAATTTGCAGTCCCCCTTCTTAAAACAAGACTGACTCAGCATGAACATGCTTTAACATGGAGACAGCTTATGGCTGCTTCTGCAGGAGCAGTAACAATACCAGAAGCCTCTAGCTACAATCACTATGGCAAGAAATACTGCTTGTTTGACCAAATAGTCGGCTACCTAAGCATTCTGACTTCAGGCACTGACCAAACCTCTCCAAAGATTACCAAGAGTGCTGTGGTATTCACTTGCTTCAATTTGTATTCAGAACATACAAAGTTGACAAACTTAAAGCTTTATTGTCGGTTGCAGTAATATAAACAAGTACTGACATTTAGTCAATGTCCATCTCAGGAAGCTTCTTTTCTGTAGCTGTTGGGGCAGGCGCAGCACTGGGCTCAGCACTCTGGGCCCCACTGCTGCCATCTCCCTGCCCTTCTACTGGTCCATTCGGTTCAGTTGGTTTCTGCTCCTCCTTTGGGAGTTCAACTTTGGGTTTTGGTTTTGTAACTATAGGATTGCAAATACTTGCCAATTCCTGAAAAACAGGAATTAAGGAACTGTTAGAGGTGTCTCTCAACAACTGTTTAGTTACCTGCTTGCCCAGTCAACTTTCGATACTTTCAACTGGATATCCAAAGTAGAGGCAGATGTTCCCTAGCACACATAACAAGTCAACACCCAAACACTGTCCTTCTCTACAGCTGATCTCACCTCAATCCTTATCCAAGCATACAATTTCATCAAGAAACAGAAGACTTGTGGAAATAATTGCCTAGAAAGACTTACCTTAGTTTTAGCTTGTATGTCTTTAGCTTTTATAACTGGGTCCAAAGTAAGACTTCTCTTGTTCTGAAGATTGAGTTTGTTATTCATCCATTCCATTGCTTCATTTGCACTCTTCTCCACTTTCACTACATCTGCTTCATCCAGATGGTCATACTGCTCATCCTGAAACAGATTAATGGTAGCTGTGCAAATGACTACTCTGAACATCCAAACTGCATGCACTCTCAACATTTAATTGCACAGCTGAACTTGTCACAAAACACCAGACTAGTTAGCTAGAAAGCTGTTGTGATTAGCAATTAACCCAGCCACCTAGAGCTCCGAACAGACAAAACTCAAGATGCACTGCTGCTAGTATTTTCCCCTCCATAAGGAAAATCACGATTGACTTCCTGAGAAAGACATTTTTCAAGCCAAAAACCCACTTCCAAAAACATGATAGGCCTTGAGAACTCAGAAGCTAACAGGACATTGCATGAACTTTCTACATAGCTTACTTAAAATTCAAAACAGGCTTAACATCACTTCTGTGCACTTGCCAGAAATTAAGTGTGGAAATACCTTTGCTTTGAAGGCATGAACAGTTTTCATGTACTGCTGGATTTGCTTCCCCAAATCCTCAAATGCTTTTGGCCTTTCCTCTGATTCTTGAAATCTCGCCTGAATAGGTTGACCCAAGGCCTGAAAAAGTAAAACATACCATAAACACCCCGTGTCACCTCTTGGCAGGGTACAGCATTTCCAAACTCCTTGCAGTGTTTCCCTTCACTTAGAGGAAGTGCAGATTCTCCTTTGTGTCATTACAGACCTGTTGGAAGTCTGCTCCTTACATCATTAATGATGAAATCAGTTTGTTGTAGGCATTAATTTCTGGATTAGGGATCCTAAGCTAGCCTCACTTGAATAAAGTTCTCTGGATTCATTAAGTTCTGACTGAAATGCAAGAACCACTTACCTTTAGCTCTGTTAATTTATCGATGTAAATTTGTTTGGGTTGATCTTCACCATCTTCATAAAGCCAATTTTCTGTATCTTCCAGCTTCAGCGTGAAGCTATTTCGATCCTGAAGCAATCCATACAAAATAGTTAAGTGAAATAATCCTACTAGATGACATTAAAGTGATGTTTGGAATCTTTCTGGAAAGGTTACATTATTAGAATGTGAAGAACTTTTAAAAATTATTTTTAATCTTAAACCATTCCTAAAAATTGACAAAGAGCTGAAGTAGGTTAGGTTGCCTTCAAATGATTGTCAAGTTCTCCTTGTTTCAGTCTAAAAACAGATGATCAAGCAGTAACTTCAACTGCTGCAAATGTTTTGGGAAAGAACAGTATATCCTGGATACCATCTGCTTGCACTTGGCCCACATTCAGGTTCCTAAACAAAAGGCTAGAAGTGTTTCAAGTTTAAATTCAAATCTGAAAACTTACAAGTGCAGTCTAAGCAAGCACACTAATATGATACAGTCAGAGGTTATTAAAAATAACTGTTAATTGCAGTAAGATGTAGAGGACAAAGCCAGAAATACTTACATCTTCACTAACAAATTTCTCATAAATACTGCAGAGTTTGTCTCTCATATCATACACATATTCTTCTACTGCATTCTTAGCATCATTCCTCTCCTTCTCTAGCTTATCCTGCATTATCATTTTACCCTGTGAATAAATAGACACATTAGTTTTTTTAGCCAACTATCTACCAAGACCTCAAAATATTTCTTAACAAGAAGTTCAGTCTGAATAAAGATTTTGAAATAATGTGCATAACTCTAAGACAAAGTAGATGATAAAAAAAGAACTACAATTTGCTGCTGGTGGCACATCCAGTAAACACCAGCCTGCCTCAGCTGAGCAGTCACCCACCCAATGGCAGCAGCCACACAGCCTGCAGCTGAGTCATTCAACAAGCTCCCCTACAAAATAAATGTCTTCATTAGGAATACATTCTGGCTCCATGAGCCACTGTTGTTCACCACATAAAACTATGTTAATCTTTCCCTGACCACCATTAACATTTAACCATACCTAATGAACAGCAAGATTCCCCATAAGTTAGAGACCTCTTAAGCTCAGACAAGTAGGAGTTTACCTCATTCTCAATGAATAAGTTCAGCATATCTTTCCCTATCTGCCACACCAACTGGTTCTCAATGGGAAGGTCCACTGTAGTAGTCTTTACTTTAGCCTTCTTGGCTTGAGGTGGCTGATCCACTTTCTTGTCCTTAGAGTCATCTTGAGAAGTCTATATGGAAGGAATAAATCCAAAGTAAAAAAAACATTACTGGTTCAAATTAAGCACAGAAGGCTGATAATAGAAAAAGGCTTGAGTACATGTACTTCTGACACTGACAGCTCTATAATTCTCACACTTTGCTGCCAAAGGAGTCAGAAACAGTGCAGCTGTTCACTTTTACTAGCCACTAGCTACATTCACAGGAATTATGTTCCCCCCCTAATGTTTCCAGATGCCCCCTTCCAGTTTCTGCATTACTGAAATCTCAATGACTTCTCCCATGGAGAGCTCTCATTTCATCAGTACTAGCTCACCTGACAGACCTTCAATAATCAGTGCTCTGTTATGTTTAAAACACCACAATACAGACTACAAATATTCCAAATACAAGTTCAGCTTCCACAGCTGTGACAAAGCTAGTGGATGACAGGCTCAGACATTACACATACTTTTGAATCTTCCAGAAGAATCTTGTAAGAAAACCAATTTTCACTTTACCTCCATTTCTTCAGACTCTGCCTTATTTTCAGCTTGGACCTGCTGCTGTTCTTCAGTCTTTTGCTGCTCCTCCTGGTCTACTTGCATCTTCTGAAATTAATAGAAAGATTCAGTTTAGCATATTAAACAGTGCTTCAATTCTTACCTTGATCACTCTACGTGCATCTAGTGTTCTTCAGGTAAAAGAAAGAAGTAGAGCCTTGAGGGATCAATTACATACTTTTAGCCTTTGCTTCGCCAATTAACAGCTCACTCCTAGAATGATTAAGTATTTCACCGATAGCTCAGTTCTGGTTTCAAGGCATCTGTCACAGCTGTGACATACTAAAATTAGTACTTAATTGCTAAACACATCTCTAAACCCTTTTAGAAATCCTAGAACC